GAACTTCCTCGGTACCGTAGGCTCCCGGGGTAAGTTTTATCAAGGTGTGCAGGGGCACATTCATCCAAGGGCTCTTAGACTGGTCCTTCTTCATGAAGTATGCATATATACATCGTAACACAGCTTGGTGGGTGACGATAAGAATATCTTCACTTCGCTCCAATTCCATGATGATGGGTTCAAGGCGGATAACAACATCACGGTACGACTCCCCGCCACGATATCGGTAGTTGTACTTGTCTTCATCACGGGCGGCAAAGTCCTCGGGATATCGGTCCTTGATCTCCTGATAAGTCAAGCCGTCGCATACTCCTGAGTCAAGCTCATCGAGCGCCTTCCACTGGAGTTGATTGTAGTGCTGGGGAAGGAAACGAGAAGTAGCAATAGTGCGTCGCAAAGTCGAGGTCCATACTGTTAGTGGTCGATCGTCCTACCTAGTGTTAGCCACATAAAAAATGTTAGGGTGCAGCTGGACTTACACCAACTGACTTTCGGACGAGCTCAGGAAGTTTTCTCGCATACTGTTCACCACGAGGAGAGAGGAGTGTATCACCGCCAATTCTTCCGTCAATGTTATACAAGGATTCGCCATGCTATAAAGATTGTCAGTGATTGATTTGATCGCGCAACGTAATCGCTCTTACTCTTGATAGCCAAACTGAACGAGGACGGATGTGTAGATTCATAAGATAGTACACAATGCGACTTTGGAGATAATCTCGGATACGGCTGATAATGACTTGCTTACCGACATCCATGATCTTGAGGTAAGTTAGGTGAGACTCTTTACCATCAGCGTCAATGGTGCAGTACACCTTTTCGTAGTTGCGAATGCGGTTACGGAAATCGAGGGCGGCAGTCTCAGGATCCTGTCCGCGATAGTCCGGGCTGGTAGTCTTGACATCTCGGATATTGGCCATGATGAGCTCTTCGTCGTCGCACTTGCTCTCGACAAAGAGAACCTCGATACCGTTTTCGTTGCAGACCTCCAGGACCCACTTGCGGCGTTCCAGAGTAGAATTGGTAGCATCAAGAATACCAACAATGCCGCCAGAACGAAACCAGGCGAGCATGTCGGCAACAGCAGCCTCGGCGGCAGCACGACGGGTGCGTTCTCCTTCGGGATTGTTGATATCGAAAAAATCGGCCGTGGGTTGTGGTGCATCATTGCGGCGGTAGTTGCCAACGTTGAAAGTCTGTGCAGGAATGGAGAGCCACTGAAGATATCGCTGAGCTGAGAAGTTGGTCAGCTATGATGGCGCATGATGCAGATGCAGATAGAAATGGAACCTACCTCTTTGGGCAATATAACTCTTGCCTCGGGCTGGTAGACCGACCATGACCACGCAGATCCTGGTATCTTCGGCCTGAACGCCGACACCGTTAGTTCGAGAAGGCATCGTGGCTGACGGTTTGCGACAAATTGGGTGTAAGTTGCTTGGGCGGTGAAATTGAAAGCGACTGCTACTGAGCAGAGCAATCAAGGTTCACAAACGAGAGCCAGGCACTGATCAAATCTGATGAAGCTCCAATACTGCAGAGGCATCAAACAAAGAAGGGGATGAGATTGGAAAGACGATAGTCTAATCGAAGACGAGCGGTAGAATGTGGGAGTCAGAATGTTAGTGGTCGTGTGAGCCGAGGTAGACTCTACAGAGGGGAGGGTGAGTGAGGAGAAAGGAAAGACCTGGGTGAGTTCTTTCCGACGACTGGATCCGAAGGTAGCCAGCCAGTTGGTCGAGATCAGATGAGGAAGCCACGGCACGTAGATGGATGGTATGTTCCTTCCCGTCCCAACGGAGTATATTCACGTCGATGATACGCCAAATTGACCCCAATGAAGTGGCCTCAATGCAACTTTGCTCGATGCAGTAAATAGAGCCAGTCGAAGCTCTATCGGCCTGTATATGCAGCCCCAAAGTTGAACTGGCCGAGAAGAGCAAGATTCAGATGAATTTGATGTGATCTGCAGTAAAGGCACCCGGGGCAAGGGAACCAAGACTTCGGGGAGAAGCTGTCTGAGGATGAAGTGGGGGATAGAGTGAGGGGTCGAATAGTGAGCGAGCGGTCTATGGATGAAAGGAAAAGAAATTGAGATGGATGGACAGCAGCAGCTTTAACTAGTTGCTCTATAGAGTAGCAAGCCGTGCCTGGGGTAGCGTATCGAATAGTTCAAGGGACAGAAGGCCGATGAGGATAAGAGAGGTCAAGTGACAGAAGTCCAAGGTGAAGTAAGGTAAGGGTATGCAGGTAGCTACGGTAAGGTAAGGTAAGGTAGCTTGGGATGAAGATGGAGTCGGGTTTGAGGCTAAGAGGGGGACCCAACCCAGCTGAGTATCACACTTGATACGGTACAGCTTATCGCTGCTATAGCAAGAAGAAAATACCTGTACTTTAGTCAAGGCAATCGAGTTTGCTCCATCACAAACACGAAAGAGAAAAAAAATTCATGTTGAGCATGCGGCTTGCATCGTCTTTCTCAATGTCGTGGCTCCATCATGAATGACGATGGAATGGAGACAGGCCAATGGGATTACGTCGTTGCCCCGCTAAAGCCCGCGTTTCTGATCCACTGTCGCGGGCCAAACCTCCCCGCCGCCGCTCGGATGGACGCCGTGCGTGTCTGTAGAGGCCCCGGGACAGTCGAGATGCCCTGTATGGTGGTGGCTCGGAGACGGTCCTGTAGGGGACGACAGAAGGTCGGGTGCTCCAAAACCACCCCTGAATCTGACTTCATCATATCCCTTCCGGTCTCTTGCGTGGGAACCTCCACTCTGTAAAATTTCCATTTCACTTTGCCGATCAGATGGTGGGGGAGGAAAGCCGCAGCCCTGCCAGAGACCTGTACGTAGCCGCTAGCTCAACCTTCGTTGCAGTTGTCTCATGGTGACCTGCCTCCGGATCCTCCCGGCATGGTCCCGGAGACGGCAACCAGATATCAGGCATTTAAGGACAATCTTCGGCGTCAAAAGCTCAGAAAGATGGTGTTGGGGATATGCAGTAGCCATTGAGAATATTGCCCTTGGTTGTGTGAATTTAGGCATTTCACGGCAGACACCGACAAGACGCCGAGCCCAGAACCGACCGAGTCAGCTCCAGTAAACAGACATTGATATTGGTATTGGCGTGGACATCGATAGATCCAAATCTCATCACACTTGTCCCGTGCTCTTACCCGGGCCGTCAGCCTCAATCCATGGTCAAATGTTTGCCTGGACCCGTCTGTCTGGGCGCAACTACAGTACGGTACGGTATGCTGCAGGAACCACCACCAGCTGCCGCTCACGAGACCTATGCTGAGCTCCGGGTCTGTCCGAATTGGCACCACCAGTATCATGTCATGTCGCGTCGTGTTGTTGCGATATCATGACTTGCGATTGCTTTTTGAAGGTCCCCAGATGCCGTTTTCTGGGGTGCGTTCTCGGCCGATGTTTGCATTTCCAACGCATGTTATGTATGGGGTCATCCGTCTTCTGACCCGTCTTCCATCCGATTTGACGTTGTGATGTGATGGTAGATGCAACTTGAACCTCATTCTCCCCCAAGCTCCCAGACTTTCCGGGCGTGGGGTCCCCTCACCCCAGGTTTAGTTGCTTTTTTGCGGCTTTCTGTCGTGTTGCACTGCTGCCCTTCCCTTACACCGCCTTGCGGCCTCACGATAACGAAGATTTGGTGGATCGGATTCGTTCGCTTGAACACTGACAATGAATCAAAGAAATATTTTATCTCGTACCTTGCTAAAGGCAAAGGTATTTGCACGACCCCTTGTCCGTACAGGTAACGGAGGTCCGGCTGCGACACCTCTCATAATTTTCTTGTGCTTCGGCCCGTAACGTCAGATGTCGATGACAAATGTTGAAGTGGTAAGGTCTCTCTCTCTGGTGATTCTGTATCCGAGCCAAACAGGATGGGATGTGCCAGGCCAGGATGTCATTGAAGCCGAGTCTTGTGACTTGAGTCGAATGCTTGACCTGCAACGGAGGCAATCGTGAACTTGTGAAAATGGAAGACAGCTAGAAACAGCAGGATAACTACCACGAACTACCTACCTTCCATTGCGGGTTATCGCGATAAGCATCCCACACAACATCACACGACGAATCACGTTCCACTGCAGATACACGATGCTGTTTGCATTGGATCTTTTCGCTTACAATTCCACTTGGGCTCTGGTCATCGGGGGAAGCAAACTTCTGTCTCTCAATCAAGGTGCGAAGATAATCAATCTTGGGCTCTAACTAGTTTGTACTAAATCTACTTGATCTTTGTGTCTCTTGGAACATGTTCCTGAGTTTTCTTGCCTCCTCTTTCCTGGTTTCGATATGAATTTACATGGAGATTAGATCAGATAACAAGAAATCCGAGGGTCTCACGCGTCGTTTAATGAGAGTTCTACTCCAGTATTGGCTAAGATCAAAACTGAATTTTATCTTGTGGTGACTAATATTCTCACTATGGGATGATGCTGTATAAGTGGCAACCAAGAAGAGAACAGCCCCCCCCCCCCAATACACTTCAAGTACCGATTCTTGTTTCTACCTAAGTTAACAAACCCCGCTAATCTATGCGAACTGAAAAATGAAGCGGTCAGATCGTTCTCAATATAACTTTGGTAATAAAATTCACTGAAGGGGGTAGGAGGACGGCAAACGCCAGCAAAACGACGAGCATACATAGATCCAAGCCATCGATTCCTATTCTACCGCAGTCTTCTGATTAGACTGCTTTGAGCGTTAGCAATCATCTTCAAGCACATGTCGAGGCATGGTGTTGAAGATTGAGGAGGAAGACTGACAGTCAGACGCATTGTGGAACAACAAGACGAAGTCTTGTTTCGTACGCTAGTGTCAGCTAACTGATCTTGTTCATATAAACACTAGATGCAGGATGGTAACAATTTCTGCTTCAACCACAATATTTTACACCTTTGACATTCTGCCTCTACAGGGCTACATCCCTTGTTTGCTCCTCAGGTGACAGGCTTCCAGGACACAGACAGCTTATTTGGAGTAGAAACGCATCTCTGCGCCACCCACATCAAAGACAGCCACAACGTTCTGCAAGAACAGATCCCCCAGAATATATGGCCCAGATCCTCCTGTCGAAATTGCGATTGCACATTTCCCAGTCACCGGCTCGGTGAAATTCTGATAGATCAAATCAGCTGGGTTGATCCAGAACCGAACCCCTTTGATGATGACCGCAAAATGGGGAGGGATGGCATCGCAATCGGCAAAGTAGGCACTCCACTCAAACATCCACGTGGCTGGGGGCTGGAAAGCTTTGGCAATGGCTTCAGCCAATACTTTTAGAGCTGTTAGTAACCATCAGGAACTTGAAGCGGGTTGACTGACGAGGAGGGATATGCATCATTGTGGTCCCCGTGTCGACGATGTAGGGGTATCTTGCGGTGTCTGTTGTGCTTCCCCATTGTAAGCCATCCGGAATGATGGTGTAGAAAGACGGTTCCCAGGCAGTCTTCTCACGCTCAACGAGTTTGGCCTGTAAGTTTGTTAGAAACATGAACGTTAAAAAGACACTCTCCCTGCAGGATCAACTGACAATGATGAGATCTGTTGCTGCAAACGACTTGGGTCCCCATGGCATAGGAGGAAGGCCGCCCCAAGCCAGGATGCCATCACTGGTGTTTCTTTCGATAGAAACGCTGAAGATAGGATCGACAACGCCCTTTGAGATTGCTGTGGTAAACCAAGGCGAGTAAGGGTAATTGTTCCATTCAGATTCATCGGATGTGTCGCTGGGGTCACCGAGGTAGGCGCTTGTTAGAGATGGATAGGCAAGGCCTAGAATACCAACAGTGGTGTTGTCGCCACGCCAATAAGCTCTGCTGGCCAAGCCGACTTGCTGTTTGGGGACCAAAATCCCACCACAAGCGATATCAGAGACTCCCATGGGGCCTGATACATCCTCTCCAGAACCATAACGGCGATGAAAGTAGACTTCAGAGATACCATGAATGAAGTTCTCGATATGAGGTTCACCGAAACTGCATGGAGATTGGGTTTTCCTCACGTTGCCCGATGCATCCTCACAGGTGAATCCAGTCTTGGCAGCCCATGTATCAGAGCTTCCGGTGTCGAAGATGAGCCAAACCGGAGTGTCGTCCCAGGCGCACTGGATAGCATACGCAGTGGAGAAGCTCCCGACAGCAGAAATGTTTTGGTGAGGGACGGTACTCTTTCCGGCTGCTGCGAGATGGGTTCGTGTCAGATGGGAGAGAGCAGATCTCGGATATGAGTTAGTCTTGTTCTTGAGGCTCTTGAGTCGCGACATGCGAACACCGGTGCGATCAATAGATTTGGCGGAGATGGCTCTGGCTCTTTCGAAGGAGAAGCCGTTGAGTGAAGTTGAAATATCCCAGTGTGCCTGAGCAACTTGATTGCCTGCCACGGCAGCAAAAGAAAGACATATGGTGCTGGCGAGGAGAACGAAGATGAAGTGAAGCGATCTCATCTTGGTAATGAGCACCTTAGGTGTAAGGTGATCGGTGGAGGTTAGAAACGGTGAGGTTGTTGATGCAGGGGATAGGATGTGATGTTCAGAAACACTCAGATATTTTGAAAAGTGCTTTGCCTGTGCCTCAGAATTCAGACTCGCGGGTGGCAGGCACCTCTCTTGGTAGTGCCCTGAAGGTGCCTTCCTTCTCTGACTCGGCTACATAGGTAGGTAGGTAGGTACCTTGGAAGGTGCAACAATGCCTAAGAGAAGACTCGCTGAAAAGACAATATTCCTGCCATTATGACGTAGCTTACCTACTAACCTTGGTTCAGTCCTATACCATATATTTCCCTTACTTGCCTCTTGTGATTAGAAGACTTTCATCTTCAAATTGCTTGGGTGTTCGAGGTGTGGTTGTCTCGTAAACATATATACATAGGTAGGTACTCAAGGGTCATGGTCAATAATATCATGTCCTTCTTTGGACTGTGATCGAACTTCTTCCATCCCTGACACATCAAACTAACTATTGACTTGGTAAGTAGATTATTCAATAAATGGGCAACTTCAAATAAGAATATCCTGTTACTTCATGTCGTTGCTTGCACTCAGATCTCACAGATCACAAATCGCATGGTCATGCGTCAACAAGTCTGATCATATACAGAGCTCATAAACGATTTTTCTCGTCAGGATTGTAAATCTAAAATGCTTCCCAGAATCTCTGATGCATGGCGCAGAAACACGAATGTACTGCAGGTTCCCGGAGAACAAGACATTGGAGGCTCAACGAATAAGACCTCCAGATCCGGTGCCACATCCACCATCTCTCAGACTTGTTTACAGGTTTCAAGAGATCATCATAGTAGAGCGATTGAGTTACCGACTGGTTAGAATAAACGAGAAACAAGACACTACGCTGACTACCCAACTAATTCTCGCAAGCCTACTACGAGGCTGCCTATCTGAAACTTGGCTCTATACAAAGCAACCTCACTATAGCATTTGCACTTTTACGTCAATTTGTTCTATGAGCATTTGACTCTAAAAGCAGTCCTAAGTTTCACTACTGGAAAGTAGTTAGCTATCTTACTGTCTACATTGTACATTATTGATCTAATGCCTCAAATATCACGTCAGCAACGAAATGAGCCATCACTGACTAAAGTTCCTTGTCTCGAAGCCAAAGCACCCCGCTGACAAAAACTAACCTTGCACGAATTTCTAAATGACCGCGATTTATCCTATACCTGGCACATGTATAAAATACATTGGTTCATCCTTAGAACTCCTAATACATTAGTTGTCAGTGGTTCAAGTACATTCATTTCCAAACTCCGCAACAGAACCCTATCCATTATCACCCCCTTTTCTACAGATACCTTCCGAAATCAAACGAAAACCTCACCTGACCTCCAGCATCCACTCGCATATCGTATAGATTAATGGCGAATCAAGGAAGAGGGGGCAGATGTCATCATCTTGCACAGCCGAGATAGGGCTGATGCACCACTACACTACCACGATAGCGCGGCGCTTGTCATGTTCAACTCCATAACGCCCCAGGATCTATTGGCTCAGAAACCGAATAATGGCAGGGCTGGAGGCTTGGACGCTTCTTGGATTGCCAATTGTGGAACTCAGATCATCTTACAGTAAGCAGACTTGCATATAGGGGTATCTCTAGATCATCTCTCGAGACGTCAGTTCCGGGGCTTTGCTACAATGTCAACATCTGGAAGGTCTTCCTGGAACCTTGCTTCATGAGGCTTAGGTTTTCGGAAAATATGGACTTTCATTGGTTTTCATTGTCAACAGCCTGCATTTTGTCCCAGCAGCTGAGCATACCTGCAGGGCTCTCGGTCTTTGAGAAGCCGAGAGACATGGTATCAAGAATGATGACTACCTCAGGATTCTTCCCATCAATAAAGGGACGCATCTGCTCTCTTGTGATTGCCTGTCTCCCGAGTGTTGCTTTCATAGCTCTTATTGTACACCCATTCTTAATTTCTCCTTGACTATCCTCTCGCCCTCTATCTTACACGATCATGGCATCCCATCTGTCTGGTGTAGCTAAAACAGCTACTGGTATCGAACAGACAACAATCACCGGCCCAACCAATACCAGCAAACCCCATCTTGTTTTTGGTGCAACTCCTGTGGACGGCCACACGTACCCCTTGATTCGAATCGCAGAAGATCTCGTCCAGCGTGGCTTCGAGATCACTTTCATCGCCGGCGACCAATTCGAAAAATCAATCACAGACGCCGGTGCTCGACATGTTACCGTCCCACCTCTAGTGAGCCCCAAGCTTATGGCAGAGCGTGAGGCTATCCCCGCCGGCATTCCTCGACTTCTTTATGATATCAGACATATCTTCACTGGACAAACCCCTGAGCGCTGGAGGATCCTCAATGGAGTTCTTGAGGGCATCAGAGCTGAGGACCCAGAGAGGGAAGTGGTTGTTATGCCAGAGACGTGCTTCATGGGTGCCAATCCTATCTCTCTCGGTGGGCCTCTCCCCAAAGGATACACCAAGCGGCCCAAGGTAATCAACTTGAATCCTATTCCTTACATGGCTACCAGCATCGACACTGCGCCTTTTGGTCCGGGTCTTCCTCCTGACTCAACGGAATCTGGCCGTGCGAGGAATCAATTCATGAACCAGATGATGGTTGGTGGACCTTTTGCTGATGTTATCGCCCATCAGGAAGAGGTTCTCAAGAATCTTGGCGCCACTGAGATTCTAGAGCCTCAGATTCCTTTTCACCATTGGATGCTCATGCATGATCTTTCGATCCAAATGTGTCCTCCCAGTCTCGAGTACTCTCGATCTGATGTGCCATCCAACGTCAAGTTTTCAGGTTGCGCAACACCCGAACCTATTCCTGCGGATTTTAACTATCCTTCTTGGTGGGATGATGTAAAGCGTGGTGACCGACCTATCATTGCTGTAACCCAGGGAACCATTGCTCGCGACGCAACCAATCTTATCATTCCTACTATCGATGCGCTTTCTGACCGCGATGACCTCCTCGTGGTAGCAATCCTCGGGCAAAGGGGTGCTTTTCTCCCTGACGACATCCCTATTCCTTCCAACACCCGCGTCATCGATTACCTCCCCTACGACGCTCTCTTACCTCATGCTTCAGTGTTTGTCATGAATGCTGGATATGGTGGCTTTCTTCATGGAGTAACTAACGGTGTTCCTTTGGTTCTTGCAGGTGAGACCGAGGACAAACCGGAGATTGCAATGCGCGGAGAGTGGAGTGGTGTTGCGGTCAACTTGAAGACGGGTAGGCCTACACCTGATATGGTACGGTTAGGTGTCGAGCGTGTTTTGGGAGATGATAGCTTCAAGAAGAGGGTTGATGAGATCAAGGCCGAGAATGAAGCAATGAAATTCTTTGACTTTATCGAGGAGCAGGTTCTCTCTGTTGAAAGCTTTGAGGCATGATTTGCATACGATAGTCTCGGCATCACTCATAATACATTATTTCTGAAGACCTGAACCTATGATTGATGTTGATGTCATGTGTAAGAAAAAGTCTCCAAGGGCCTCCGGTCTATCGACTCTGTTCCTCCGTCCGGCTCCGGCTCCAGCGGGGCCGCGGTTCCTTAAATAGGCCGATTGTTATGGAGCGGAGCGGAAAGGTCCTTATATCGGATCATTTATATATAAAACAGACTTCTAGAGTCGCCGGACCAAGTCCAAGGCCCTTTTGATCAATCAGGCCCAGAGCACCTCAATCAGGGCTTCATCATGGCAACCTCCAAGACATCGCCTCTGGCTTTCATGCATGCTTTTAGTCCAGCTGTATCATATTTTCGGCGCGGTATAACGACATCAACAACTCCCAAAACCACGACCTCTGGTGACCCTCCACTCATTATCATTCTTTCGTGGTCGGAAGCTCGCGATATTCATATAGCAAAGTACATCTCTCAGTATCGCGAGCTCTATCCAACATCTGCCATACTCCTCTTCCGCGCTTCCACTAAGCTATACATTCAGCCAGCCCTACGTCGTCGCCTGTTTGAGCCTGCTTTGCCATTTCTACAGTCGGTTGACACCAAGGAAGATTGTGCACCCAAATTTCTCATCCATATCTTTTCCAACGGGGGTGTCAGTTCTGCTGCCACGCTTTGGGGCATGTGGGAAACTTCACTAGGCGGGAAACCAATTCCTCGACATGCTGTCGTGATGGACTCGTGCCCCGGGTACTTCCATTGGAAACGAGATCACCATGTCCTCTCAACCGGGGTTCCGCCATTTCTATCCCCCCTCGTCTGGGTGTTCCTGGGCTTTGCATGGGTGTACTACAAACTATGGTTAGGTGTGGAACCACATACTGCCTATGCCTCGGCTCTCAATACGCGTGAGAGAATCAGCCGGGAGACTATGCGGGTATACATTTACGGAGATGCAGACCTCTCGGTTGGTTGGGAGGATGTTGAATCACATGCCCAACAAGCAAAGAATAATGGCGCTGTAGTCAGAACAGAGAAATTCGCTGGAGGTGCCCATGTCGCTCATGTCAGAGTCGATGGTGATAGATACTGGAAGGCTGTCCAAGAGGCTTGGCAAGGGAATGAGCTTTAGATTAGATATTCATTCTTGTGTATGAATATAATAGACATTACTGAGTCCCTAGATAGATATATTACATTCGTTCAGTATGGTTGCGTTGCCTCCAAGATCCTGAAAGTCCCCGTTCATTATTCGTTACCACGGTTTCTTCTCATCTCATGATAGAACGTGTATATGTCGACCGCCGATAGTTCAGTAGAAGATCAGCCTATCTGTCCCATTATGCCTGGTTCCCGAAAGAAAGCCCGACGCCGATAAGTGTATGCTTTGTTCAAGTCCTCTGCTTCTTGGAGGCATCGCTGGATTCTCCTCGCTCCCCAGCTGTTCTCTTGCCGAGGCTGCTTTGTGTTTGTGTTTGTGATGTCTGTTGAAATGGCATTATGTGACTTTCATCTAATCCTCCGACGCCCTCGTCTTCCTCATGACACACGGGGCATTCTTGGTTGAAATCGTGCTCTTGGACGAGGATACCTCGGCGGCATCCACCAAACCATCCGTTGTTCTTAGCCTCAAGGCAGGACAGTTCTTGGGTCAAGTCAACCCAAGTCTGAGGCTGATCGCAACACGTGCAATGTCCTCTGAAGATCATCATTCGGCACATGTCTGCACTGAAGAATTGGCCGGTGATACCTCAGCGATGCGTGGCACGATGTCACGATGTTAGGCGTAGAGACTTGTTGGAGAGTCAGTGTCTGTGAGTCTAGGCGTTTGTTGGTGAGAATTACCTTGTCTTGGCGGCCCTGCTTCTTGTATTGGGAATACTCGCGATGTCTCAGTTGGGGAAGATGCCGAATACCGAATTGGTGTCTTCATCAAGCGAAGCTCTGTAACGTTAGACGCGAGACGAGTGAGTGCCGAGGAGAGTAGCAAGCCACAATGCAACGTCGACGTTGATGCCAGAGAGAAAGCCACAGATATTGTCGACGTTTCTTTGATATGCAATTCGTGGGTAATAAAAAAGCAACAAAATAAACTTGGTGTTGGTTGGTTCGTTGTTGATTGATAGCCACCAACAGCAAGACAGCAAGAAGGGTGGTGTTGAAATAAACCAGTAAACGTTTGACACCAGTATGAAATGTCGTGCTAAAGAGAAGAAGGAGAAGATCTACCGCGGAAACGCGGGAGATGAAGAATTGAAAAAGAGCCGTGCCGGCCTGGCCATGGGATCAAGTGAGAGGACATGGTGATTCTAATATAGGTTTACATAAGAAGCTCTGAGAATGGGTGAGTGATGCGCAATGATGGACGTGCTACAGCATAGACTACACCCCGCGATAAAACATTCGTAATTCGACGAGGCAACGGCCAACTCTAATTACTCCTTTTTCCCTCTTTTCTACACCCCTACCTAGGTACTCAACCGTCACGTCACGTCACGTCACACATCCATACATACATACATTGACGCAGATACGACATAAAACAGCCAGAAACGGACGTGTCTTAAAATTTGGCACTTCCAGGCCCCATCTCACCTCTGATAGGCACGTTTAGGCAACGGTTGTCATGAAAGGTCCAAGCGATAGTTATTCAGCTGCCTCGCATCAACACATCACTTCCAGTTTCATTCTGATGTTTCATTTCCTCCCCTTGTCTTCGGGGCAATAAGCTTTTCTCCAACGCTAGGCATGTATGTATGTGTGTACATCCGTCCGTATGGTATGGTTTTGCCACACCTAACTAACTAGTACTGTAGTAGTTGGTTTCTCCTTCACTGCCACCGCCTGACAATTCCCGAGCCCTTCGCTTCTGAGTTCTAGACTCTAAGTTAGGATCCTGCTCTTGACAGTTGACCCATTTCGTGGGGGTCTTTGTGGGTTCTCGACCCTATTCTGGAAAGCTTTATCTTCGGCAGTAACCGATATCATGGTCTCTACTGTTGGGACCTGGTGATAGCTTCAGATCGTTATTTGGAATTACAGAGACGTACCGAGTCTCGTCGACTTGCCGAGGCATTATCCAGAGGCAAATGAGGCCATTCGCAAAATGCTGTCTTCCCGGAAGACTAACGCCTTGATCTTCAAACACCACAGCCATCATCATCACACATGACGATCCTGCTAAGCAGGGTAGGGTTCTCATGGCGGTGATCAAAAAGCCCCATCTCCTCGGCTCTTGTTCTATTGAGTATCTTCAGTGGCCACGGGAAGACGTTTGCTGGCGATAACCTTTCGCGGCTCGGGCTCTCATCCCCAGAGTCTTCGGTGTGTTGTGCCTGGCATGAGAGGCTGAGCTAGAGCAAACTCCGGGGCATTCAAGTTTAATTCCATTTTGAACAAAGGATTTCGATTAGGGCATTATTTAGCATTCCCGCAATTCCTGATTCCGTGAGCTCATGATGCTAATCTCTGGCTGAACTTTGTATAATCCTCCTGCATGATCTTGATATCCAATCTCAATGATATCTCCCACCTTGGGCTTCACGTGTGCCGATTTCTTCGTTCTGTATTCCACTACCCATGGTGACTGGAATTCTTGGGACCACCACAGACCATCATAAAGCCTACTAGCTCTCCCACTATTCGTCTCGGGGCGTCATATCAAGTACCCGACCAACATTCTACGGGCGTAGCTCACTGGTTTTATGCTTCTAGACTAAACGTCCGTCAGTTTCATCCAAACACTCTCTGACCTTGGGTTTCAACGTTTCTGAGCTCACATGTACCGAGTTCAAATTTGACGGCTGAGGTTTAGCCGTTGATCATGATGAATCTGAGTGCCTCGTGCACTTACCCTCCGGCGAACTTCCTCCGGTGGACAGCCCGAAAACTGAGTTGAGAAGTGTTTTCTTACCAGGTGGTGTAATGCGCTCATGATCTCAAGTAGGTCAAGATCCGTTGCTTGATGTTTCTCCAGCTCTAACTCCTGGAGTTCGGGGGAGACACTGGAAAGATACAGTCCACTTTGGCCAGTGTCTCCAAAGACTTTCTCTCCTCTTGAGACTTCAGAGACAGCTCAATCACTCTTTTGCGGCTCCAGGATGACATATTTTCTCCTTGGATATCCTATTTTTCTCATATTGGATTCGAAATAAGGAACCTTAATGTGCATGCTAATCGCAAATCACTCCCAACAAGAAAGCCTGAGTAAAATTGAGCACGCTTTATTATATATCTGTAACAAAGCACCCAGCTAAGCGCTAACCTCCACCTCCTCAGAAGTAGTTTGTCATCAAACGCCGTTACAGAGTGAATACTGCCCTCAGTGGTGGTTTCTTGGTCCTCCGAGGCGTCACTCAATATAGCTTCTTCGGGACATCCCAATGGCCCTCTTGCATCCCTTGTGTGTTCTTTGCGCGAATCATAGGTGTCTCATGATATCAAGTCCCTCTTCTTGCTGGTCGGGGCTCTGGTGTGGTGCAGGCACATTATCAACTGGGTGGGCATCTCCTTCAGGCAGATCTAATTCAGATGCTTCTCCTTCAGACCATTCGTATCCATGCGCAAGACCATACACTTCTAATCCATAAGCACCTAGTTGAGACAGTTCTGAGACAATATCATCTGATTCAAGATGATCTGGTTCAGGCAAATAGGAGAGGGCAACCGCAAAGTAGTCAAGGTCATGTGTCTGGGGTTACCGAACTGCCCCAGGGTTCCGGAATCTTTCAGCACGCTCCTCAGGCGTTTCATCATATAACGAGGGCTCTGTAGTCGTTTCATCATCTGGTTCCAGGACTACATCGATCTTAGTGGGCATCCATGGTCTACGGTACCCCCTATCACGACAAGTAAGCCTTGAGCCTGGTTTGACGCTGTTGAAGTTCCCAACGGCGTCTCTTTCCACCAATTTGCGGTAGTCGTGACCGGGGTAGTTAACTCACAGTTGATCCGAGTCCTCAGCTATTTCGTTTGCTATCTGCTCTGCCGCTTGCACCAGTGGGAGCCTTGTTTGGAGAAACTCTTGCGAAAATGTCTCATCAGTCGTTGCGAGGCTGTATGATATTTCGTAACTGCAGTTGTAGCATCTATCAGTTAGGACATATTCAATTCTTGGGCTCATGGAACGGCGAGTTTCGAGCACGCTATTGCAGACGATGCATCGATACTGGTGGAAGTGCTTTCGGTTCCGCAACGGGAGATGGCGCCGATTCATGATGAAATGACAGATAAGAGTTTGATACTAAATAGTATTATCAGTGAAGCGAGTGTTTTTGTTGCTGAGATGAGTCTTGTAAGTGGAAGCAAAGTAAAAGGACCTTGCCCTCCGTGCTTGGGGACGATCCATGGTACCTAGGTAAGGTATTCGACGAATCCATCTGTAGCTCTTTCCATTTGACTTTTGATTCCATGATGCACTTGCCTAGGTACCTTACTCAAGGTTCCTCTATCGAATAAGACAACGATTCTACAGAAACTCTAGCATCCATCTCTAAAATAGGTACTGCGTAGAGGTAGGTACTAACGTTCCCTTATGAGGTACATAAGGTAGGTAAGTAAGTACCTACTAAGGTACTAGGTAGTAAAGTTTCTGACATCAAGATACCTTAGGTGACAGAATTAAGGGATCTAAATATGTAATAAAGTATACCAGGGTAACCTCTCTTCATCACTTAGGATAAAGGTCGTCGGTTTTCTTGCCTCCCCTTGATAAGTTACCTACCGGCACCTTGCTAAAAGTGTAGGGTTTGCTCGCTGTATCCGTCCAAAAATTAATAGTCTCAATATCTTGACACAAAGAATCAAAGTCCCATCAAGGCTTTATCTCTTAAGCAGCTCGGTGTGATTTATTAATAGGGACCCCAGATATGGTCGAACGCATTCACTTCGGTTCCCTGAGTTCGTTCTGTCAAAGCTTCTGTTGGCCTCGTCAGACTGCATATCCACTTCACAACCGTCAACAACATACTAAGAATCTGTCGAGATCATAAAATCTTGATAGTTCATCCATCGACCGAAGTACCTCGGTAATCTGCTCAAGTTTAGCATACTCAAAGCCTTGATACAAAGAATACGGGTCTGGAGGAACTACCAGGCTCTGCCTTAGTAGTAATGACACTTCTAGGAGACTTGAGTGATCTTCACAGCTCACTACGAGAAAAGACATAAATTGGTGAACGGGAAAGTCCACGGTCGTGTAAGACTAAGTAAGTGTTACGGTGGTAATACAAGGCAATGCAATCCGAAACTCCATTTCTCCAATCCAACCCACCGTCACCAAAGTATACATTCCCTTTCCTCATGACATGCAGGCGATGAGACTATCCGGTGTTGAAACCAGACTCAAATGAAAACGTGGATGAAAGCGCAACGAGCTAATGCACGTGGCGAATTGCTAGGCAACTCAACGCGCAGCATACATGCAGAAACAAGGAGACCACTTGCACGAGACAGTCGATTCATCCAATACCGTACGAGCCTGATTGGAAAAGGGGCAAGAGACAAGCGAACACCACGTGCACCAAGACACTACTGGCCCAGTTCAGGTTGTGATCAGGTTCGTGCAGTTGAGTTGGCCGGTTCACATCTCGTGTCAACGCAACTCAGCTCAACCACGCCACGACAAATATGAGCTGGCACCGGAAATCGCACATGTCATCAACGAATTAGTCGTGAGTTGTCAGTCCGCAAGCCAGTAGCAACATGGTCGTGAAAGAGCCAG